AGTGCAGTATTCTGAAGTTAGAGTTTTGGAGAATGGTGGCTTGAATGCAAGAATAATTAAAACATTTCTTATTTTTCAGACTGCTTCGGACCCCTTACACCTTGTTGTATGGATTAAATACTTGGTATAGTAATATATACCATTGTATTGTTGGTATTATGTGTGTTTTAAACAATGCTCTGAGAAGCTTAACAGTATGGTATAGGACGGATTTACATTTTCTTACGCAGAAAGCCATGTCTATACTAACTATGTAATGTTGGCCATTCTGATTGTCGTTTCGGTTTCACCCAATTGCTGTTTATGTCAAAGAAGAGATGAGAGAGAGAGTAGTGGTGTGGATCTCAACATTGTCGTATGGTGGTTGAGTGTTTAGTGGTATATACGTGATTGTGAGTGGTTTTGTTCATGGAAATGAAGGTGCATAAGCGACGCTGTTGCTGGTACCAGACCACATGACGCTGGTTGGGGTTAGCGAAGAGGGTTAGACAGCGAATCAAGTGAAATGAATATTACATCTGAAAGGATTTGTTTTGTAAATATATTATGACACATTGAAGTCATAGACACAATGGTGTCCAGAGGAGATAAGGCGAGTGGCACTTTTAAGAGCCCTTCCAGTGACAAGTCGAAAGGGCCATCACGAGATTTTGAATTTACGATACCTCCAGAAGCTCCTGTATTTGAACCGACAAGTGAAGAATTTCAAGATCCTTTAGGATACATACGGAAAATTCGTCCAGTTGCAGAAAAATCTGGCATATGCAAAATAAAACCACCACCGGTCAGTGTATTTGCCGTATTTTATATATATTTTTAGCATTTTGATGTTGTTTGACCGTAAACAGAAATGAAGTTGAATGCGATATTTTAAAGGTCCTCGAAGTAGTAACGTGCAATACTGCTCTTTCAAAATGGCTGCCTATTAATGCTCCCAGCCATTTAAATGTACCCTTAGATAAGTTCACCTTTCTTATAATCCAAAGGTATATGAAATAATGTAAAAACAGACAAGAAAGCTATTTTTCTTCCAGGTTACATATGTTTATATATTATAAGCCTTTATAAATGGCTCTGGGTAGAGTCTGGTGGCAGGCTTTTGTGAAATGGTGATGAACCTTTGGTTTCAATAAAGAAAGTGGGCTGTTCTTTGACAAAGCTAGTATACAATCGACTTTTCAAAGAATATCCTGCACCATAGACTGTGAGTGTGAGGAAAGTCTTTGTAAGTTATTTATGTGAAGGACTTCATCTACCTGATGTCTAATTTTTTGCCATTATTACTTCTGTAGCTTCTCAAGGAGGACTCTGTGCCATGGAATCAGTTAGCATAGTTCTTGTGAGATAGAAATCCTGTATAGTTAACTGTTTATACTTATAAATCCCCAGTATATAAAAATTGAGACAAACGTGTAGGCCTACATACTAATGTTTAAGACATGCTAATGAAAACATGAAGCAGCAGTATATGTATAAGAGGTCTAGTTATTATCCTAAATATGAAGCGTGTAAATGAAGGAGTTGACTTTGTCTTTTATCCATTTCACACCAGAAAACGTAGATATTAAAATATTAAAAAACTATTTTTATATTTTTGGTTTGTTTGGGGTGTGAAAATTCAGCTTAAGAGAAGGAGACTGACTGAGGGTATTGCAGAACAAAGCACTTAATTAGTGCTTTTCACAAGATATTATTAGATGACCAAATCAAGAAGGGTGGGATGAACAGGACATGTAGCATGCATTGGAGAGTTTAATTATGCATATAGAATCTTTGTCTAAAAACCACACAGTAAGTGATTGTGGAAGGTTAAGAATAAGGCTAATTTTAAGAGCTAGGTTATGAGGGCGTGGACTGCACTCATTTGGCTCAGGATAAGATACGGTGGCCAGCTGCTGTGTCTGCGATACTAAATGTTCAACTTTAGTGACAGTATGAGGGGAGGGACAAAATGCCTTGCATGTTAATGCATTTATACTCTATTTTGAGGAAATGTAGATGGAAGTATATGATGGGAAGTTTGTTTGAAAATATCAGAAGATTTAATGAGGTAGTCCGTCACATCGTGCCTACCATATTTGACATTATTAGCTGGGCTGAAAACATCTAAATCAAACTGAGATATTGTAAACTAACCTAACATGGTTAGGAAATTGCATGAAGTAAACTGGTGATGACTTGTCTGATGTCATGATTTGACCATAGTGGGTAAGTAGTAGGTAAAACGTCTGGTGCGCATAGCAGATTGTGTTGTGGTAATCAGTGCATGTGGCAGTAACCATATGTGCAAGTTATCCAAAGGAAAATGACCCTGGCAGCAGGGAGTGTAAAGTAGCCGGTGCTAGAGGAAGGAGATAAAGTCTAAAAATTATAATTGAAGTGTCATTACAGCATAGAAGGTTTTGAACATGAAAGTAGAAGGCACACACAGAAGACCAAGATGAAGATGAGATGAGCAGGTTAGGAATGAAGAAGGTGAGGAGGAATATGGGAAGACAGATAGAGATGCTTGGTCTTTAGGTGACTCACAAAAATTGGAAATGTCTGAGAAAGAAGAATTTAATACATAAAACACACAGCCCAATAATACATATGGTCCCACTTGACTCATATTCTGTATAACTTTATTAATGTTTTAATATCTTGCGTTGATTACAGGATTGGCAACCTCCTTTTGCTGTTGACGTTGACAAATTTAAATTCACGCCAAGGATTCAGCGACTAAATGAATTGGAGGTATGTCCTGTTACGGTATACTTGTCATGACATGACAGTAGCAGGTTACAAAAGTGGTTGATATTTATTATATTATGGGGAAAATGTTGGTGGCGTTTGTGTGTGATTGTCCATTGAGTATGAATTTTATCATGTGTTGGTTGGATTTGCCACCATAGGCTATTTGCCTTGTTACTCCTCTTCAGTCAGTTGTGGACCTGTTCAGTGTCGGTGTGCTGCATTTTTTATGCGTGCTGTTCAAATGTATCTTCCTTCTTTTGTTCTGAACTCATGACTCGAGTATTTTAGTTTAAATTATGCTGCATAATTTGAAGCCAGTTTTTATCCTACAGTGCAATTTTTTAAAGTGCCTTTGCAGCTAAAAGTTGCAGAAATGATCCTATAAGCTTCACTATGTAGGATTTGAGGTTTTCATGGTTTTCATATGGGAGCAAGGACCTCTGAAATGTTGGTAAACTTCTGCCAGACTACACAGCGCAACAACCCAGAAGACAGTAATCTTGAAGTTTCACTATGTCTTTGTATCCATATGTATGCATGTTACAACTCGAGGGTGGCTGAATAGAATTTGATGAATTTTGATGCTGTACAGTTTTATCAAATTAAGCGTGGGTTATTTTTCAGGCTTATTTTTTTGTGTGTGAAGTATTAAACCTGCTGTTGTGTTGATTAAGTAAGGTTTAGTTTTGTAAGTTTTGACTGGCATATTGATCTTGACTTGTATTTAAAATGTATTCTCACACCCCAGCATGCATTGATGTGAGATATTTAACTTTCGGGAAATGCTCAGAATGCACACCAACACACTGTTACTTATTGCTCAGATCTTTACATGAGGGTCACCCAAATGTATGCATGGGGTTGCTTTAGTTACAAAGTACACAAACACATACATAAGGTTTGTGGGAAATTAATTTTGAAAAGTGTATGAGCCGTTAAATTCGTGTGTCGTGTGAACACGTTACTTGAGTGGTTATGAATCATTGGTATAAGTGGAATGCTGGATGATTTTGGTGTGTTATGTGTTAACTAGGATGGCATGCAAATGTTTTTTAAGCTTCCTCTTCAGACTTTGTCATACTGGAAATAGATTAACTTTCCTGATCAACTTTCTTGTTTTCAACTATATTTTGGTGAAGAATTTTTTTAATTTTAAAATTGCTGTAACTTTGACACTGTTTCTTACAGGCAAAAACACGGATAAAGCTAAATTTTTTAGATCAGATAGCAAAATTTTGGGAACTGCAGGGATCTTCATTGAAGATTCCAATGGTGGAACGAAAAGCCTTAGATCTTTACACATTGCACAGGTTAATCCAAGAAGAAGGTACGTATTCAGTTTATTGAAATACACGTGAATTTATGTTCTGATATATGGCAGCAGATTTTTAGTTATCTCACAAGAGGAAGTCAGCTGGGTGGCTGTATATTCAAATTGTGTTTACATTAGTCACATTTAATTTCCACTTGTATAAAATGTTAACACACTCACTACTGTTCCATATCTGAGTTTTTTAATTCACTGATGCTTAATTCAGAGTGCCATATCCGATTCTGATGAATAGCAACACGTACGAGAAGCAAAAAAGTCTATTTAAAAATGCACTTTGAGTACATAATCTGTTGTTAGATGGTGCTTGAAGATCGATCAGTCAGTTTCTATTCATTTGTATACCGTGTAATACCACAAAACATTTGTATATTGTTTAAAATGGCAGGACTGAGAGAGAGGTCAGCTGGTAGCACGGTACCTGGCCTTGGTCAGGCCAGACTTTCAGGTTTTCATGAATTTTTTTGAGCATATTATCTTATCATATGTTTGTTGTTCCTGTAACACTCCTTTTACTCAAGGCAAGAAAGAAATGTATTTTATGTGGATCTGTAAAACGCAGTATTTTTATATTTTAATTCATGGCATAACAGCCCTCTGAGAGCCAAAGCCGACTAGCTGGCTGCTGGCCTCACGTTCACATGCCTAAGCAGAGGTGAACGATCATCCAACCAGATATAGGGTGACGTGTGGTCAGCACGATGAACTTCCAGCCATTGCTAGTTTCCACGATCGAATTACGCTACCCATTGTAACTCCCCAATTACCTCACGATGCTGGGTTAGAACCGGTCACATACACTGGTCGAAAATCTCATGAGAAATTTCTTTCCCTGAGACTCGAACCAGCACGCATTCCGTATCACCGGTCCGAAGCATGATGCCTCAGACCGCGCGGCTAAGGCGCGGGACAGTATTTTTATATTAGTGGTTTATTATTGAGATAAGGTTGATTTTCAGGTTGAACTTATGTTTTTCCTGATGTCCATCAGTCCGCTGTGTTTTAACAGTCATTTGTGTTGGCTAGGGAACCGTCACTCTTGGTTCTTTGCTTCTGGGCGTCTGTGAACGTCTTCAGTAATGATTCTGTGTGTTGGCAGCTTAAACCTGTAAGCCAAGAATAAGATGTAATTCTGATTTTTATTTTGCTATGCAGGTGGTGTAGAAATTGCAACAAAGGAAAGGAAATGGACGAAAGTTGCTGCGAGAATGGGCTTCCCTCATGGAAAGGGTTTAGGAACGCTATTGAAAAATCATTATGACCGGATACTTTACCCCTTTGATGTGTTCCAGCAGGGGAAACTTGTTGGGCAGATTGTAAGGACCTGAGTTTCATTTTTTAGTACCTTCTTCTAGTTTGAGTACTTTAATGTAATTTCTCATGAAAGATGTTCACGGGATGCTTGTAATATTGGCACGTGGTGATTGAATTCAGAAGCTTAAAGCACATGTTGTAAAGAATTGGTCTCATCTGTGCAATAGCAATATTAAATCACATCCTTCAAATGTAAAATCCCAGTTTTGGCACTGAATTTGTTAATTAGCAACCTGGATAATCTATGTGCAGATAATTGAGAGTCAACTGTGCATTTTTAACTTCTTTTTATTGGGGCAAGAAGGCTTAAGTGTTGAAGGGGGGGGGGGAAGAGTTGATGACTGTTTTGTAACATAACATAATAATGTATAATTTGGTTGTTCTTAATGTTATTCGGTTGTTTTCAACAGAAGATGGAACCAGATCAGAATGAAAATGAAAAGCGAGATCAGGATTACAAACCTCACGGTATTCCATCACGTCAAGCAATCAAACCACCACAAGAAAAATACAGCAGGAGGTCTAAACGATATGCCCCTGGTGACGCTTCTGACTCTGATACTTTGGTAATGGCTTTTGAGCGTTTTGAAATATTTGCAGTATCTTGGAATATTACCTTCGAAGTTTAATATCAGTAAACAAAACCATTCTGGGTTTGTATATATGATATTTTAAATTACACATTTTTATCGCTTTGATATGTGAAGATTATATCAACTATGGCGTCTGCTAATTTACTGCATTTGCCGGCGTCTCTGTAGAATATTATTTGTATGTGATGAGTTGTAACGTATATGTTTGGGAATACTTGCAAGAAAATATGTCAGCTGTTTGAAGTTTTTTAAGTCGTGGTTGGAACACGTGTTTTGTTCGCATTATGGCTTTGATACCATGAATGTTATTGCTTCGAGTGTGGTAGGACTTACGTAATTTATTGAACTTCTAGATTGGACAAGATAACTCTGATACAAATGAGAATAAGGAACTGAGGAGGCTTCAGTTTTATGGAGCTGGTCCAAAGATGGCTGGGTATCAGACACGGAAAGAAGAGAAACCAAAAAATAAAACAAGAGGAAAGAAGGTTAACTACGAGTTTGATCCTGTAAGTCTGTGTGTTTTGCTGATGAAGAATGATTTTGTATGTTCATGAAGTCTGTCAAAGAGCATTGAGACTAAATGTTGTTCTGGGTTTTGATGCTTCGTGGACTCGGGTAAGATACCGGTGCTTGACAGATGCATACTTTTGAAACCCAGAACAGCGACATCGTCATTCCACCTCTGTAAAATGAGAATATTTGGGTGTTGCAA